CATCATTACTGGATTATTATCAATTTGTTTATGAAGCCGGCGATAAAGCAAGCGTAAAGGACTGATACCTTCAGATAGCCATTGTCGGTCCAGGCGATAAAGTGGGTCTTGATTACATTTATCTTTGAATCTATCTATATCTATTGCTACATCTACATCCATAACTATATTTCCATCTATCAGCCTAATTATCTACATATATGTAAATACACACACACACACACACACACACACACACATATATATATATATATATATATATATATATATATATATATATATATGTGTGTGTGTGTGTGTGTGTGTATACATACATATATATATATATATATATATATATATTATATATAAGTAGACATATATATATATATATATCTACGTTTACACACACGCATATATATGCATGTATGTATATGTAAACATTTGTATATACATGTATGTGTGTTTGTGTGCTTGTTCATATATACATATATATACATTCATCTCTCTCTCTTTCTCTCTCTCTCTCTCTCTCTCTCTCTATATATATATATATATAAATACTGATATACGTATATATATACAATTTTCCGATAAAGCCTTAAGCAGAGCAAAACATGTCTGCAGTTGTGAAAAAGTGTATATATAGCGCAACATTTTTGGTGCGACAAAAGTGAAAACAAATCTTCAAACTTCCCTGTTTAGCCGTATACTAACAGTCAGGAAATTTATGACAGAAATAATAATAACTGTACTGATGTAAATGAAACGGACGATAGCGGTAAAAAATATATAAGAGTGGTGATGGTTATACTGATAATTAAAACGATTAATTGTAATAGTGAAAATAATAATAATAGCGATAATGAAGATGATCATGATGATGATAATGATGTAGATAATCATAATGATACTGATAATGATAACAGTAATAATAATAACAAAAGTAGATTATCATAATAATAATCATCATAAAAAGCTCTTGTAATAATGCAAATAGCAGAACAATAAATAAATTAATAAGAATAGTAACAATACCATTAGTAATATAAAGAATACTAAATGATAACATAGACAGTATATAATAAGGACTGCAGTAGTAATCATATTTAATTATAAAGAAGGATGATAATCAAAATGATGATAATAAATTTGTATATGTAGATGGAAATAAAAAACTGTCTTTGCACGTTTATATATATATATAAAATACAGTGTGAATCTGATATCATTTTATTAGCATAGTAGAAAATACATGTTCAGTGAATTTCATGGACAATGGAATTCACAGAGAAGGCAATGCAATATCAAGGAGTTTTGTTAAGCGGAACAGTTCCTACAATAGGTCGTATTTAAATCACTCATTACTTTGTTTGTTCTTCGTTCAACCAAGAAGGCCATGTCGATAAGGATAGTATCCACGGTAACCGTAGGAAAGGGGGTAACCATATCCACCATAACCAAGGTAGCCGTAGGGAAGGGCGTATCCAACGTGAGGATTTGGCTCGGCCTCAGCCTCCCTCTTGCCGACGTGAGAGTGCACGTACGAGGTCGCGTGGCCAGGATGATAGGCTATTCCAACGGGATAATGAAGTCCGTGGTAGAGGTAACGAGATGCCGTATCCACCGTGAGGATCGGCCTCAGCCTCCCTCTTGCCAATATGGGAGTGCACATATGAGGTCGCGTGGCCCGGGTGATGAGCTATTCCCACATGATGATGTCCGTGATGGAGATAGTAAGGACTACCGTAGCCATAATGGGGATCTGCCTCGCGCTTCTGCTCTGCTGCCACTGCGACAGCCAACAGAACTACAATCTGCAGACGAAACGCCTTTTAAAATGTCTGTCTCACATGTTAAAAGCTGACAAATTAATATTTAAGTGTATATGCACAAACACATATATTTGTTTATTCATATACGACATCCATATGTCCATGAATAAATATATATGTATGTATATGTGTGTATGTATAAGCACATGCAAATATGTATATATACATATGTGTATATACATATAATTACAATACACTCACATGTGTATATGAATTCAAATATACATATACATGTATGTATATATTTGTGTGTGTGTGTGTATGTGGTATGTGCATGCATACACACAGACAAACCCACATGCATACATATATACACACTTATATAAATACATATGTGTGTATATATATTTTCATATATACACATGAATGTATTGTACTTATATGTATAAACACATATATGTTTGCATGTGTGTTATACTGTTACAGGCTATTTACCTACAACTACTACTTACGACAAACTTCATGGCTCCGGAACCTGGACCTTTGGCTCAGTCTGTTGGGATCCCCGTCACTTGCCTCTATATAGGTCTATTCCAAGGCTACGGAGCGACACGCCCCGTTGTCTCTTCAACCACTGGTTACATGTTACCGAACTTTCGGTTTTGTTGCAGTTGTCATTATTTTCTTTGTATCTGTACATGCTAAGATACAGAAGTGGAAACCATTATTTTAGTGGGATACTTATTTGCTAATTCCCTTATAGCTTCCTAATGAAAATACGTTTTTGTATTTTATAGCGATATGTGAAAAAAGAATGAGTAATAACGATGAAAGAAACTGCAGAGACGGCACATATATGTGTTTATATATGTGTATATGTGTGCGTGCGCGCGTGCGTATATTCATACATACATACACATGTAATATGTATATTTGTTTATATATATACACGTCTGACTGCGTAAGAGAAAATATGTTTTTTAATCCTTTCATCCTACTACATCTGAATATGATGCTAAATACATAGATAAAACAGGTGTTCGACAAACCTCAAAGAACGCGGTGCATGCATACTCCGTCTAGCACGGATGCCTTTGCAAAGGCAATTTAATTAAAGGGAAGAATGTTGTCAAGCGTCCGATTTTTTTATATTAGGAACTCATTACTCTTAGACTTACTTGCTCATGTAATGCGCCTCTGTTATTCCTATCTTTCATACCGTAACCATAGAACCCATTCACTTTCGCTATTCAAATGATTGTATTTCAATTCACCAATCAAGAACTACAGCGGTTAATAACATGAGTGTCCGCTAAGCAATCATATGTGCATTTGCTTCACAACTACATTTCTACGCAACAGAGTGCTTTGCTCAGGTTACATCTCTTAGAGAAAACGCAATAAAGCAATGACGATCATTTAAAGTTTTCACTTAGTCCATGATTACACGTTCTAATCGATTTACTCTTACAGTAACTTGTCCTTTCCTAATTACAAGATCATCATTATCACAATAAGATTCGTCCATTTGTCCATTAATCAAATCAAGCGAGACCTTCCGATAGCCATGGTCTTTCCAGGCGTCGAAGTGGGTCTTAATTGATTACATTTATCTATGCATCTATCTATATCTTCTGCTATGTCTAATGAACTATATATATGTAAACATATATCAAATATATGTATCTGTATATATATATATATATATATATATATATATATATATATGTGTGTGTACATATACACACATATGTGTATATATACATTCATATATATATATATATATATATATATATATATATATATGTGTGTGTGTGTGTGTGTGTGTGTGCGTGTGTGTGTGTGTGTGTGTGTGTGTGTGTGTGAGTGTGTGTGTGTGCGTATGTGCATCTCTCTCTCTCTCTCTCTCTATATATATATATATATATATATATATATATATATAATATACATAATATATGTATACATATATATGCATATATTTATTTATTTACCTATCTATCTATTTATATAAACATATGTATATACATTCATACATATACATATATACATACATTCATACATACTGATATATAGATATATTATTTTTTAATGAAACCATAAGTAGAATAAAGCATTTGTGCAGCTGTGAAAATATACGTGTATATTTTACACGTTTTTTACAGAAGTGAAAAAAATAAATATATGAACTTACCTGTGTATCGGAAACAGTCAGGAAAGTAATAATAGAAATAACAAAAACTGTACTGACGTAAATGAAACTGACGATTGCTATAGAAAGTATAATGGTGCAGAGGGTGATGATAGTTATAGTGATAATAAAACGATAAACAGTAATAGAGACAACAATGATAATAGCAACAAGAATGATTATCAGGATGATGACAATGATAGTTAGGATAATAATAAAGATGAAGATAATGATATTAAACATGATAATGATAATAGTAATAGTAACAGTAATAACAATAACAATAGCAATTATCATGATAATGATAATGGTAATAAATGACAATTATAATAATGATAATACAAATAGAGGGGTTCTAGCAATAAATGCAATAATGAAATTCATGAGAATAGTAGCAATAACATTAGCAGTAATAGGATTCTAACAATTATAATAATATAGACAGCAAATAATAAGGATTACAGGAGTAATCATGATATTTCATGATAAACGTTTATGAAAATCATGGTAAATGTAATATCAACATATATAATAACAACTACAACGGGTGTGTAAGTTACGTTCGCAAAGACACGGTCAATGAAACTGCTTTTTCTCAATGGTAAGAGATAATGAAAGGTGACCTTCTGTGTAATGTGTCACTGGCAATTTCATGTCATGAAATCATTAATTTATGCAGTCATTGGTTAATGAGATAACTGACAAATAAAAATATGTAGATACTATATTACCGCATAATTTATTGTCTCGAGGCATAGTAATGACATTTCAATCTGTTTCCCCTTCCTTTTCCCTTCATTTTCATGTCAAACCTCCCATTAATTAAGCAATAATAATTGTTTATAAGTAAATGAAAATCAGAGACTACATTTGCACATACAAAGGTTATATATTTAAATTTATTAGGAACAATATGAGTCTGGCATTATTTTATTAGCATAGTAGAAAATACATGTTCAGTGAATTTTAGGGACAATGAATTCCACAGAGAAGGCAATGCAGTATCAAGGAAGATGTAGGTCGTGTTTAAACTACTAATTTCCTTTGTTCTTCGTTCAAGCAAGAAGGCCATGTCGATAAGGATAATATCCACGGTAACCGTAGGAAAGGGGGTAACCATATCCACCATAACCAAGGTAGCCGTAGGGAAGGGCGTATCCAACGTGAGGATTTGGCTCGGCCTCAGCCTCCCTCTTGCCGACGTGAGAGTGCACGTACGAGGTCGCGTGGCCAGGATGATAGGCTATTCCAACGGGATAATGAAGTCCGTGGTAGAGGTAACGAGAGCCGTATCCACCGTGAGGATCGGCCTCAGCCTCCCTCTTGCCAATATGGGAGTGCACATATGAGGTCGCGTGGCCCGGGTGATGAGCTATTCCCACATGATGATGTCCGTGATGGAGATAGTAAGGACTACCGTAGCCATAATGGGGATCCGCCTCGCGCTTCTGCTCTGCTGCCACCACGACAGCCAACAGAACTACAATCTGTAGACGAAACGCCTTTTAAAATGCATTTGTCTCACATGTTAAAAGCTGACAAATTAATATTTGTGCATATGCCCATATGTGTGTTTATACATATGCGACATTCATATGTGTATATGAATAAATATATATGTATGTATATGCGTATATGTATAAGCACATGCAAACATATATGTGTGTATATACATATAATTACAATACACTCACATGTGTATATGAATATATATACATATATACACATATATGTACGTATATATTTGTGTGTGTTTGTCTATGTGTGCATGCACACACAAACACACTTGCATACATATACACACATATAACTAAATATATGTATATGTATATTCATATACACATATGAATGTATTGTACTTATATGTTAAACACATAATTGTCTGTATGTGTGTGTGTGTGTTATACTGTCACAGGCTATTTACCTACAACAACTACTACTTACGACAAACTTCAT